TTTTGAGTTACAACTAGTGTTCCCCCCTTAATAGAAACCGCTTGTCAGGGGCGAAAAGTGAGGGGTCTATCCCTCAGTCGCCACAGATCACTAACCTTTTGAAACAATTGATTCCACCTCTCCTCGTCCGTGTTTACAGACATACTAATGAGTGAACAATAAGACGAAAATTGAAACAACTGACGATTTAAAATTTCACACCAGAATGCCGAAAAGTAAAGGACCAGGCGAGAAAAAAGACTGCACACAAAAAAGATCACTGCATACAGGCGAAGTCAGACTGCGGTGGGACACAATTAAGAACAAAGATTATGCAAAGTTAAAAGCACAAAAACGAACGATTACACCAGTCCAAGGGAACACAGATCAAAAAGTGACAAAAGTCAATAAAAATGAAATAAACGTCAACACTCATTTGTGAAAAGTATTAACCTCGTACCTCCTGGAAATTTTAATCTTGCATTTGAAAAAAAAGATTTAAAAATTGTACAAAAATATTTTCTTATTCCTTATAACGTCCATAACAGAAATTCACTTGGATTTTTGTCAATTTGGTTAATAATAAAAAGCTGTGCTCAATGACCCAAAAATTTGAAAATTTAGGGTATAATGGTAATCTTTCGCGCGTTAATAAAAACCCGCGTGCACCGTCCACATTAATCGAACGCTAAATACTTATCTCAAATTACGCTGAAATATACAAAAGGGAGATTCCAACCAAGTAAAACCATCGTTTCTTTGATGATCACAAAACAAGATTAACCATAAAAGAACTCACCAACGTTGAAATGCTGACACTAAGGCAACGTTGACTGACGCTGATAAATCAAAATAACAACAACAAATAACAAATACAATAACTCACATTTCGTTAACAAAAATAAAGATTTATTTAACCAAACTACATAATATTAGCAGAATAACTAAGCGTGTAACGCGATAATCAATCATGAGCCCCGACAAAGGGTCTCCCTTTTGATACGATCCAAAATCGAGTGTCTATTGACTCCGACCTCCCTAGATCTCCTAATCTGTTAAGAAGAGCGTGCTATCTCTTTTCTTCGCCACCCTTATCGCTACATCCTTCTCCTTGGAAGATTTTTGCGGCAGCTCCCTGGAAAACCTAGATAACGACGCTGACGATCGGGCCTTTAGGCGATACAAACATGCGCAAATCCTCACGCCGGAAAACTGCCAGAACACATGTTCATGGCACGCTGATTTGAAATACTAAACATCTGACTGATCAAGAGGGGTAAAAACGCTGACAGATACCAACCAATATAAGTAACGATTAACATCGTTACTGTAAATAAAGCTCCAACACTTCTTATCCCCCATACATTAAATCTTTTTTCAATTCTTGAATAAAAAATTATTACAAAAAATCTGACATGAAATCATATTAAAATCCTCACGTAGAATTATATATGTGATTGATTGGAACATAAGAAATCATAGGATTTCATGTAGATTCTGAAATGTCTATCTAAGATTTCATATAGAATTATATGAAGGAAACAATACAGGATTTCATATAAGAATTTTCAGTTTATTACATAAGAATACGTTTTTAAGAATTTACATCGAATCTCACTTTAAATCATGTCTCAATTTCCTATATGATTTTTCATAAGATCCAATATAGTTTCTTACATGACATATAGGGTTTTATGTGGATTTTAATATATGAATTTATGTTAGATCCTATATGAAAATTTTCAGTAGGGACCCCAACTGACCCTAAATTTTAATTGTTTGCATGAATATTTTTGAAAAGTTCAGTTAAAAACACACTTCTTGAACAAATTTTTGAAAATTGATCATGAAGCTTTTTTTTGGAGGATGTAAAACGTTAAAAAAAATTTGAGCCGAATCGAAGAGGTCGTATTCGTACAATTTATTACAATATCCTAGCACCAAACAATAAACACTTGATCAAGACTTTTCACACACAATAATTATATTTTCATACAATTGATATCCTCTTACACGTTGTTAGCACGGAACAAGAGTGACCATGCCGGTCCTTGCCAGCGTCTCGTAAAAATGATCACGTGACGTCGAACACCGCCATGAAACATCAAGGGACGTGCGCTCAACTTTACCACCCAGAGTCGACTAAAATTTCTAATAACATATGTTAAAAATAATTTTTGCGTGTCCGGTAGTCATATCTGATAGGCTCTCTAATTGTCTGCGTAGCCAAAAAGAATGCACGCTAATCCTCTCGGGTCGAATTTTCCTTTTGTGGGATTTTTATCGAGGATGCAAACGTGTTCTCCAAATTCGCGAAGGTTTGAAATGTTCGGTAGTTCCCCGGTCCATCTTTCGAATAGAGTCCCGTTTGGCAATCCTTTGGTTACACATCGATTTCGTGTATAATTTACCATTGCTATGGCTTCTGTTCAAACTGTTCTGTTGCGGTGTGTGTGTGTGGGACAGTTAATCGATGCTGAATACTGGATTTTTTTAACACTTCACTTAGTTGATTATTGAGAATTTCGCGGCCATTATCCTACTGAACGGCTTTGATTTTTCTTTCGATCTGATTTTCGACGAAGTTCTTGAATTCTAGGAATTTTTCTCTTTTGTTTCATGAAGTAAACTTAGCACTATTTGCTCCAATCGTCGGTAAAAGTGATGAAGTAGCGCGTCCCAACGTGCGATATGTTCCTCATGGCTCCGCATACATCTGTGTGGATTAATTCGAGCTGTGCTATTGACGATATCTCTCGTTTGGTGAATAGGGTACTCGTGAACTTGCCGGCCAGGCAAACGGTACAATCTTTCAGGTTTGCTGAGATGTCGAAATTGAATCCTTTTGCGCAATTATTTTTTAGCATGTGCACCATGTTTCGTTGATTTAAGTAGCCTAACCGTGCGTGCCAAGTTTCTATATCGCTCTTGGTGTGTTCTGTCGTGCATGCGAGGTGTGATTCTTCCGAGTTCTGGATGTAGAAAAGGTCACCGATCCGGTCAGCTGTCAATTTTATTTTTCCGTTTAGTTCCGTAACTGTAACGCGTTTCTTCGTGAAAACCACTTGACCATTATTGTTAACTAAAAATCATCAAGTTTGTTCGAAGATCTGGTGCATATAGAGTATTTTTTAATGTCACAGTGTTCGATTTACCAACTATCAGTTTTAAGTTGCCTTTTGCTACAACTGGGGTCGTCGCACTTTTTGCCAGTTTGACGATGGTTTTCGTACCCGTTATTTCAGTGAATGCATTTTCATCCTTGCATAAATGAGAACTGCAACCACTGTCGATACACCAGATATCACTATAGGGGCTATACTGCACTTTATTTTCGGAGAAAAAACACTGCGCAAATTCCACATTATTTGCCGATTGATTTTAATGGCACTTTTTGTGGCTACACTCAGACTCTTTATGTCCTTTTGTCCTCCAAAATTCACAGGTGTGGTGTTGTTTGTTTAATCTTTTGTCGAATTTCTTTCCATCGTTCTTATTTCCGTCGATGTTGAATCCGTCGTTGCTTGTGTCGATCCTCGTTCCACTGGTCCTCGGTTTGAAGTAGTTCCATTTATGGTTGGAAAACTTGGCGGCATTATCTGCTTCGTCACTGTTTCGTCTGGCGTTAAATTTTTCAAGAATTTTTATTTTTAGGCTTTCAGCGTCTGGTAGTTGGTCTCGCGATTCTATGGCACAGCGGAAATTGTCGAAGGTGTTGGGTCCCCGTTTATTTCGACGTCCATAGAATTTAATTTACCTACAGCGTCAAAAAATTCGCCGAGGTGTTTCTTCAAATCATCGCCCTTGGACATTTTGAGCTGCGTTAAACGTTTAAGCAAGGTGGCTTTGCGAGCTGGACCTTTTGACGCTTATATTTGCTCTAATTTTCTCCAGACTTGGTTGGATACGTAAGACATTTCGGGACGTACGCAATTCGTGTTGAATCAGTTCGACATTTTTAGGCTGTGCACTCGCTTTCGCGTATTTAGTCTATCGTTTCAACCGAGAAAATAAAAGCTGTATACTGATCTACGATATTTATCGCGGGTCTGGGCCCATAACCTGTTAGCGGAGATTATGCGCGATGGCCAGAAAATGAATAAAAAGGTTTAAAGAGGAATTGCGATTTATTTAAGATAAACATTACTGATCGTTAGCAAAGCTAGCAAGGAACTAACTCGAAATAGGAATGCACTTAATTGTCTTATTTTGAAACAACAAAAAAGTTTTTTTGTAGAGCCTATATCACTGACTCGCATAAGACGTCTTTATTGTTCGCACACTTCACTGCAAAGTATGTGAAAAGTTCGCTGACATTGCTAACAATTACTTACATACAATGACAGCTGGCTCTAGTGTGATAAAACAAAAATAAACGCGATGACCCAACCCTGATCACTGTCTAACCCTGACTACTCTCCCCAAATGTAAACACTACACAAAAAAATTGCACTTGCGTTTTTTAAAAAATTCACACGTATTTAACACACTTGGAAAAAAGTAGAAAATCACATATGACACATATGACAGCTAATATCCTTCTTTACAATTTATTTCTTTTAAAAATATTTATTTTTTTAATGAATTATCTTTGTTTTAATTTTGCATTCTAGATACTTAAATTTTCATAATTGCTTCCATGATGGTTTTAGCCTGAAATTATTTTTATTGTTTCAGAATCTTCAGAAATACCACTGGTCTCAAATGTACAGAAAGATAAATTAAGTGACAGAATTCAAAAGCTAGATGTAAGTAATGAGGTTTGTCATGTTAGTTTTGACGAAAGCAAAAATTGCAAACACTCAACTCCACTTGGAAAATCAATTAATGTTTCAAGTGATTTTAACTTATCCGAAGTTTCAATAATATTAACGAAATGTTCTTTAAATGGTTCTGGAGTAAACAAATCTTTTGGAATTAAAAAATTGCATGATACCTCTAATAAAAATAACTTAGAAGTTTTGGAAAATTAAGATCTTTTAAAAAAACGAAAATTTAAATCTGAACATTCTAATATACCTATGCGCGTTTGTAAACGGAGAAAGCTTATGCGTCAAAAAATTGACCTCTCTGATGGATTTTCTGGTCCAGATGATTCAAATGAGGATCCTGAGTTTGTGCCTAATTCAACAAATGAGACTGGTTCTCTTCAAAATTCAAACTCCAAGAATGCGAATAACTCACGCAAGTCAAAGTCTTTAAATAATACGGACGAAAAAGTCCCAAAACTGGATCTTCGCTTCTTACAAATACCTCCATCTAAAGAAAATTCAAAAAAAGATTTTTGTATATATTGCAAAAAACTCATATCTAAATTAGGCAGGCATTTAGAGAACGTACATAAAGAAGAAGATAATGTAAAACGCTTTGTTGCTTATCCTAAAAATTCAAAAACAAGAAAATCGTTGATAAATAATATTAGAAAGAAAGGTAATTATCTTCACAACACCAAAAGTAATTTCAATACTGGCATTTTAATTCCATGTCGTAGAAGGCAAAATAGATTACAAAAAACATCAGAAGACTACACAGTATGTTCATATTGTAAAGGAACATTCTCAAAATTGACAATTCGTCTTCATTATAAATCCTGTAACCCGAATCACAAGAATGGGTCCAAAGATTGTTTCACTACTAGTCGTCAATTCATGCCGAATGTGCATCCTCTTGCAGGTGAGGTTCTGAGAAAAGAAGTTATGCCAGTCTTAAAAGACGATAAAATAACAAAGCAAATTCGATATGATAAATTAATTATAATAATGGGAAACAAATTATGCGAAAAGTATACTCCAAAACATCAACACGACATGATACGGTCGCATTTGAGATTGCTAGGGCGCTTAAAATTAGCTCTTTTGGAGTCAAACAAAGAAATCACTGAATTGTCATTTCTTTTTAGGCCTCAAAATTATGATCATTTTATTAAAGCTGTCAGAGATTGTGCTGGTTACAACGTCAAAACACGCTTGTTTAAATCTCCTTCCGTTGCATCGAATTTAGGAACACTTATTAAAAAATGTGCTAACACGTGGATAGCTGAATGTATCAAATCGCAAAATGTTGATATGAAAAAGGATACTGAAAACTTTCTTATTTTGTACGAAAATGATTTCCCGACAGCAGTGAACAAAGCCGTAATGGAAAACCAGCTTCAGCATAAAATATCAAAAAAAGAAATTATTCCATCAAACAGCGACATTCAAAGTTTATATTCTTATTTAAAAGATATATGTGAGACATCTGTAAATAAATTAAGAAAAGGATTTAAAATTGAAGCATGGAAATCATTGTCTGAGGCTACATTAATAATCATGCAACTTTTTAATCGCAAGAGAGCTGGTGAATTGGAGCGAATTTATATAGCCGACTTTGAAAAGAGAGTATCCGTAAATAACAGTAATGATGCACATATGTTCAATACTTTAAGTAAAAATGCCCAGAAAGTAGCTGCGAAATATGAAAGTATGTCTCTTCGTACAAAACTGGGACAAAAAGGTTCAGTTATACTAGAATCTGATGTTGTGAATTACATAAATAAAATTTTAAAATTGCGAAAGAAAGCCGGTGTCTTGGAAACAAATCCATATGTCTTTGGGATAGCAGTAACAAACGATACTGCAAAAAATTATCTTCGGGCATGCCCACTAATGCGAAAGTTTTCATTGGAATGTGGAGCAAATATTCCAGAAACGCTTCGAGGAACGGCACTTCGCAAACATGTAGCAACGTATACTGCAGCAAAAGGAACTACGGATGGAAAAGTGTCAGATCTTGCAAAGTTTATGGGCCACAGTAAAGATATCCATAAGGATATATATCGACTACCACTTCCATTAAGGGAAATTACCGAAGTTTCGCAGTTGTTAGAAGCAGCATTAGGACCACAGTCAGACAAACCTAATTCGAACGAAGATAATACTAACGACACTGAAAATGAGCAATTCGAGAATAATAATTCTACCTTACCAAATGAAAGAACTTCTACTTCAATTGAATACGATTCATCTACAGCTGACGATGTGGAAGATGGCAAGCAATTTGATGAAACTTTAGAACTTTCTGGTAAGTTTATTTAAATATATTATATTTTCATTTAAAGAACGCAAATAAAATATTATAACTCAGTTAAAGCACATTCTCAAATTATTCGAATGATTTATCTTGCCTAATAATTAATTCATTACTTGTCTTTAACAAGATCAACAGTTATTCTTGCATCATCTGCTATTTATTACTTCAGTTGTCGAATGATTCAAATTTTCAAATAATTATTTCATTGCTTGTCTTTAACTAGATCATCTGAAATCCATGCATCAATTGCGTTATTTTTTCTTTTGATAGTTCGTCCCTATCGCCCTTTTATTGTTTAGATCGTCTGCCGTTCTTGCTTTTGAATGCTGCAAATTTATCATGTCTTCATTAAGTGGATCATCTGCTATTGCTAACTTTGGTTGTCAAATACTTCATCTTTTCTAATAATAATTTCTGTTCTTATCTTTAAGTAGATCATAAACTATTCTTGGATCATCGGCTACTTTTACCATCAGTTGTCGAATGATTTAAATTGTCTAATAATCATTTCATTGCTTGTCTTTAACTAGATCATCTGTTATGCTTGCATCAGTTGCGTTATTTTTCATTTTGATAGTTCGTCTCTATCGTCCTTTTATTGTTCATATCGTCTACTGCTCTTGCTTTAGAAGGCCGCAAATTTATCATGTCTTCATTAAGTGGATTATCTGCTATTCTTGGCTTCAATAGCAATAATATATATTACTTTTTGGTCGGATCATCTGCTACTTCTAACTTTGGTTGTCGAATAATTCATCTATTCTAATAATAATTTATTTTTTTATCTTTAAGTAGATCATAAACTATTCTTGGATCATCTGCTTCTTTTTACTTTGGTTGTCGAATCTTTGATAGTGTCTAATAATGATTCTGTATTTTCTTATCAATAACTAGATCATTTGCTAGTTATTACATCAGTTCTCTAAAAACTGCATTTTTTCATTTTCAAGATCAATTTTCTCAAAAAACCTAGAGTAATGGAACAATTACAAGTTTAGATTTGCGTTCAGCATTAGAAAATGTGTAAAAATCACCCTATGCGATCCCAGAAATAAAAAATAAAATTCTGTTGCACAGTATTATCTATTGTATCCTTCTTCAAATATGTTTTTTTTACATTATCCTTAAATGAATAAATTTTTTCAGGAAAATCACTTAATAACCGAAAAAAATGGACAGATGAAGAGAAGGAAATGATTTCCGAAGAATTAGGAGATATATTGACATTAAGAAAGTTACCCAGCTTAAAAGAGTGCAAATATATAATTGAAAAGTGCAGCTTACAAAGGACACCTGCACAATTGAAATCTTGGATTGATAATCAAAGAAAGGCAGAATCACGAAAAGTAAAAAAATAAATTTAAGAAAATCCTATATTATGTTTGATAAAAAGAAAATATTTTTTGAAAATTACATTTCTATAGCTCCATCTATAAATGTACTGCCTTCAGGTGAAGTTTTCTAATTTTAGTTGTTTTATGAATAAATTTTAGTAGATATCTTCCATTAAGATAGAAAACTAACTAACAATATATGTGCGAATGATCTTTAGTAGTACATAAACAATTTTTTTTGCCAAAAAAATGTAATTCTAATTTTTTAGTTATTTTATGAATACATTTTAGTAGATACCTTCCATTAAGATAATATAATGAAAGCAAACCAAAGAAATGTACAAATGAGTGTTAGTAGTGCATAAGCAATATTTTTTGACAAAAAATTCTACCTATTACTTTTAAAAAACTATCTTTTTTAAACGTAACTTCTAAATATGCAACCGGACATGGAGGTCTCGATTCAACCAAAGTATCTGTGATATATATATATATATAATACTTCGTTGCGTATATTTTATCAAAGTATTAAAATTTTATTTTAAGAATTTAAATGTTAAGTGTAGTTTATTTCTTACTATTACTGAATTCTGCATTTCAAATTCTTCACAATTTAACAGTTAAACTATATTATACATTATAACTTTAAGTACGATATAATATAAATGTCATATGTTACATAAGGAAATGCTAATGGGTAATTTTTCAAATGCAGTCAGATTAAAAACTAAAGAAAAATTCGATTTAATGTTAAACAACATCAAGAAACTGTTTCAAATTACGAAGAGCTGTACTAATAATACTAAAGTTTTCACGAGATATAGTTTAATAAATTCAAGTTATAACTAATTCAAAAGTTCTTCAAATAATTATTTTCATTACTGTAAGCTTATGATATTATAATCAATAAAAAGAAAATTTTAGTTAATCAAAAAAAATGCCTTCAATTATTAAAGATGCGCGAGGGAGAACAACTAAACTACTTGGTGTATACCTACTTCATTCTTCAAAATAAATCATGATAATTCTCGATACTTCAGATAATTCATATACTTCTACGTTCAGTAACAAAAATTCTAAAAACATCATGATCTTATTTATTTTATTTAATAGTAATGGTTGCCACACGTAAATGTCTCCATTTCCCCTCTGCTTGAAGTCTACTCATTGGGATATCAGGCTTCTTAACCGTTAAGATGTGCAGAGGGTTCTTCTACCAGCAAGCAACCCAACGCAGAAGTTGGCGTGGTTCTCATTGCACCAGTAATCCCTCTAAACGCCATTGCCAGTAGTTGTCCAAGTTTCAATTTCACCGTTTTCAACTGGCTTCTAATTCACCAAACAACTGATGCATGGAGAAACCTAGGCAACAGGACCATGCGATGGAGCCACTGAACCATATCCACTTTTAGACTCCAAGATGATCCAATTGCCCTTCTGCAAACCAAAAAAGTAGTGCAAAACCTACTATATTGATACTCTAAGTGCTTTCTCCAGATAAGCTTCTTATCCAGAATCAATCCTAGATATTTAACCGAATGGGAAAAAGGCTCATCTTTTCCATAAAATACAGGTTTCCTCACAGTGGAAACCTTGTATTTCCTAGTGAAGATAACAATATCCGTCTTGACTTGATTAACAGAGAGGACAGTTCAATTATACAATCTCTTGACGATCCCTCATGCTCTGTCTCTGTCAATTCTAACAGTGTATCTAACGAGAGACCTCTTACAATAATCAGGAAGTCATTCACATAGCTTTGTGTATGAAATCTCTGGTTATTAAATTATACTAATCCCTCATCTGCTACTAAGCTCAAACAATTGAGGAGATAAAAATCCGCCTTGTGGGCAACCCTAAGCAACTAGGCCATTTATTTTGACCTCTCCATACTCTGCTTCCAGGGCTCAGACCGTCAGCTCTTTCACGGGCGAAAAGCCGTCAGGTAGCTTTAATGCAGATAGCTTAACTGTAGCATCCCCAGCTAGAATTTTATAAACTCTAGATGCTTCTGGTATCTTCTCAATACCTTCACAAAAACTCCTCCTCCAACATTGATGGTACTCAAAGCGTGCATTTAATGGTTGACTTATTTAAATTGTTTATATTCGGTTACTACTTTAAGTAACAAAAACTATAATAATCTTCTGACCATATTTATTTTACTCTATTCAATTGCCTTATCAATCCCAAGTTACTAAAATTCTAAAAGAAGCAAAAGAAACATTGATGGTACTCAAAGTATGCATTTAATGGTTGACTTATTTAAATTCTTTATATTCCGTTACTACTTTCAGTAACAAAAATTCTAATAATTTTCTGACCATATTCATTTAACCTTTTTTATTCCCTAATTAATCGCTAGCTACTAAAATTCTGATAGAAGCAAAAGACACATTGATGGTACTTAAAGTATGCATTTAATTGTTGACTTATGTAAATTGTTTATATTCGGTTACTACTTTCAGTAAAAAAAATTCTAATAATTTTCTGACCATATTCATTTTACCTTTTTTATTCCCTAATTAATCGCTAGCTACTAAAATTCTGATAGAAGCAAAAGACACATTGATGGTACTCAAAGTATGCATTTAATTGTTTACTTAAGTAAATTGTTTATATTCAGTTACTACTTTCAGTAACAAAAATTCTTATAATTTTCTGACTATATTCAATTTACCCTGTTGAATTCCTTTATTAATCGCTTGTTACTACAATTCTGATAGAATCGAAAGAAACATTGATGGTACTCAAAGTATGCATTTAATTGTTAACATTCGGTTGTTGATATTCGGTTACTACTTTCAGTAACAAAAATTCTAATAATCTTCTGACCATATTCATATTACCCTTTTTAATTCCCTTATCAATCGCTAGTTACTACAATTCTGATAGAATCGAAAGAAATATTGATGGTACTCAAAGCATGCATTTAATTGTTTACTTATTTAAATTTTTCATATTCGTTTACTACTTTCAGGAACAAAAATTATAATAATCTTCTGACCATATTCACTTTACCCTGTTTAATTCCCTTATCAATTGTTGGTTACTATAATTCTGATAGAATCAAATGAAACATTGATGGTCCTCAAAGTATGCATTTAATTGTTGACATTCGGTTGTTGATATTCGGTTACTACTTTCCGTAAGAAAAATTTTAGTAATCTTCTGACCATATTCATTTTACCCTTTTTAATTCCCTTATTAATCGCTAGTTACTTAAATTTTAAAAGAAGCAAAAGAAACATTGATAGTAACCAACGTATACATTTAATGGTTCACTTATTTAAATTCTTCATATTCAGCTACTACTTTCAGTAATTCAAATAATCTTCTGACAATATTCATTTTACCCTGTTTAATACCCTTATGAATCTTTAGTTACTAAAATTCTAAAATAGGCAAAAGGAACATTGATGGTACCCAAACTTTGCATTTAATGGTTGACTTATTTAATTTGTTATATTCGGCTGCTACTTGCAGTAACAAAAATTCTAATAATCTTCTGACCATTTTCATTTTACCCTGTTTAATCCCCTTATCAATCGCTAGTTACTACAATTTTGATAGAATCGAAGGAAACATTGATGGTAATCAAAGCATGCATTTAATTGTTTACTTATTTAAATTTTTCATATTCGTTTACTACTTTCAGGGACAAAAATTCTAATAATTTTCTGACCATATTCATTTAACCTTTTTTATTCCCTAATTAATCGCTAGCTACTAAAATTCTGATAGAAGCAAAAGACACATTGATGGTGCTTAAAGAATGCATTTAACTGTTGACTTATGTAAATTGTTTATATTCGGTTACTACTTTCAGTAACAAAAATTCTAATAATTTTCAGACCATATTCATTTTACCCTCTTTAATTCCCGTATCAATCGCTAGTTACTAAAATTCTGATAGAATCAAAATAAACATTAATGGTACTCAAAGTATGGATTTAATTGTTTACTTATGTAAATTGTTTATATTCGGTTACTACTTTCAGTAACAAAAATTCTAATAATCTTCAGCCAATATTCATTTTACCCTCTTTAATTCCCGTATCAATCGCTAGTTACTACAATTCTGATAGAATCAAAAGAAACATTTATGGTACTCAAAGTTTGCATTTAATTGTTAACTTATGTAAATTGTTTATATTCCGCTACTACATTCAGTAACAAAAATTATAATAATCTTCTGTCCATATTCATTTTACCCTATTTAATTCCCTTATCAATTGCTGGTTACTACAATTCTGATAGAATCAAATGAAACATTGATGGTACTCAAAGTATGCATTTACTTGTTGACTTATTTAAATTTTTTATACTCGGTTACTTTATTCACTAACGAAAATTCTAATAATTTTCTGACCATATTCATTTTACCCTGTTTAATTCCCTTATCAATCGCTAGTTACAAAAATTCTAAAAGAATCAAAAGAAAAATTGATGGTACCCAAATTATACATTTGATGGTTTACCTATTTAAATTGTTCACATTCAGCTACTACTTTCAGTAACAAAAATTCTAATAATCCTCTGTCCATATTCATTTTAACCTATTGAATTCCCTTATCAATTGCTGGTTACTACAATTCTGATAGCATCAAATGAAACATTGATGGTACTCAAAGTATGCATTTACTTGTTTACTTATGATAATTGTTTATATTCCGCTACTACATACAGTAACAAAAATTCTAATAATATTCTGTCCATATTCATTTTACCCTATTTAATTCCCTTATCAATTGCTGGTTACTACAATTCTTATAGAATCAAATGAAACATTGATGGTACTCAAAGTATGCATTTAATTGTTTACTTATGTTAATTGTTTATATTCCGCTACTACATTCAGTAACAGAAATTCTAATAATCTTCTGTCCATATTCATTTTACCCTATTTAAATCCCTTATCAATTGCTGGTTACTACAATTCTAATAGAATCAAATGAAACATTGATGGTACTCAAAGTATGCATTTACTTGTTGACTTATTTAAATTTTTTATACTCGGTTAC